TGCCCAAGTTCTGGTGATGACAGCAAGGAGAATAAAACTGTAAGAGCACCTTTTATCCATCTGAGGCCAGACATACAAAATCATCCAAAAGAGGCAATCTGGTTGCCAGGCTACATGGAAGGCCATCAGCCTGACTAAAAGTGATAATATACAGCTAAAAAATAATGTATCAATGAGAAAAAGGGAGAGGTCATGCAAGGAAGCGTGGGTAGAAGTTTGGACTTGCCCCTGAACCCTATGGATGGAGGAGAGAGCCTATCCCACAAGACTTTAAGAATCGTGGCTTCATGGCCTAGACAGGTTGGCATGTGAATACAGATGTCCTTGGCCCAAGCAAACAAAGTATGACTATGTCAAGCTCTCATTTGGAGTTCAGTCCCTATTGTGAGATGGATGGCATACCAGACACCATTCAGTGTAGAACCTATCTGTTCTCCATGTACAGATTTGTGTTCACAAAACCATCTCCTGATTCTATGTGACTTCTCAGGTAGTCTGACTTCAGGGAGTTAATACATACTCAACAGATTCTCCAAAATATTCCCAGGCCCTGATATAATTATTGTTCACTCCACTTCAATGAAGTTGATGTTGATTACAATTTGACTTCCCAAATAATTTGACAACAATGAAACAGTGAGCTGTTTACATCAAAATAAATATTAGAATCTATAGAGTATTTAATTCCTATTGCAAATTAGTCACAATTTGTCATTTACAACTTAGTGTCATGAGTATTGGGTTATCATGAGTCAGTCCTCCAAGCCAGATAGTCACTGGACAGTTAATACAGGTCTTGGAGGCTGGTGATCTTCTCAGCATTGTACGTACAGTGACAGCTATGCCGATTATCAATTTGCCTTCCTTTCTCTACCCCATCTACCTGTTCCAAACCCTTTCTCCCTCTACAGATTTCTACGGAAAGCAGAATGAGGGCAGCCCCGGTGGCGCAGCGGTTTAGCACTGCCTGCAGCCTGGGGTGTGATCCTGGAGACCCGGGATCGAGTCCCACATCTGGCTTCCTGTATGGGGCCCATTTCTCCCTCTGCCTGTGTCTCTGCCTCTCTCTGTGTGTGTGTGTCTCTATGAATAAATAAACAAAATCTTTAAAAAAAAAAAAGAAAGCAGAATGAGGTTAGCATTCAATGACAGCAAGTGTGGAATGCTGTGTAAATGAAGATAGGGTGAAGATATTGATTGTACAGTCAGGAAAATTCACACAGGGAAGAATTTCAGCTGGGTGAAATTTCAAAAGGGTGAAAGGATTTCCTTAAGAGAAGAAGGGAGGAGAAGACAAATGTGAGACGGATCAATGAAGATCAGAGACCGTGAAAAGCAAGGAAAGTGTAACAGTCATCATTCACATCATTCACAGGTGTTTTACTAGGGCCAGATGAATAACGGTGATGCTGCCAAGAAACAACAGTCTGCATCTGTGAGGGTCCTTCGGAAAGATAAAATTCTGTCAAAATGAGTTGAGATCAAGTTTCTGTGGAACATGCAGTGTGAATCTGGGGACCAAGAGAAAGTCTGGAGAATCCTCTTCAAGCAAATGTACCCTTTATTCTAAACCTACTTTCTTCTATTCTGGTTTTATGGTTGCTTGGAGCACCTGCATTGAGACTATTTCAAGGTTTCATGTGGCTTCTATGTCCTCACATTCCTTGTTCCTCTTCCCTCTTCATTTTCTTCTTTGTTTCTTCATTCCATTTCCCCATAACTATAAGCCCATTCCTTACTTCATTGCTACCTGGCAAAACTAGGAAAAAACTGGAAAACATTCAGACAACACCATTATTTGGGGTCTTATCCCATCCCACTACTGCAGGCTCAGCCTTGAAATTACCCTTGGACATAAAACATGTAAGACATATGCCAGTGGGTACTCTGACCACAGATGTTCCTTTCTTCACCTTCACTCTGTAAAGCTACAAACAAAACAAACTATACCAAGGATACTCAGAAAACATCTGCTTGTCCTTGTATACACCAGGCTTGTCACATGCCAACTCTTTCTTCCCTCCTCATTGCTTTCCTCATTCCATGAAAGTGATAGTAACCTGTCCACTATTCATTAGAGAGAAGAGAGATGACCCATATCCCAGATACAAATTAAGCAACCCCGAAACTCACATGACATGGATTCACCAGGACTTCCATCTTCATTGAAAAAACAGAGAACACATTCGGATTTTAAGCTAGTATTGGACTTAGGCTGAGAAGTCTCCATTTGTCTGTTTTCAGGTAAAATCATACAAAAAGAAATTTCATTTACAGTATGTTTCTAACCCTAACCCCTAACCCTCACCCCTAGCCCTTACCCCCCAAAAAACCCAATAAACAACAAAAAAAATTGACTCTAATGAAATAAACTGAAGAGAACTCACAATAAAGATAATAACAAAAACTGTACTAATCTGAATGCACATATGGTTATCACTGATTTCCTCATACAGAAATAGTGATTGAGCACATGCTATGTGTCAGGCACACAGTAAGGCCCTAAGGAAACAAAGATACATTAGATATGACTCCCCTAGACCTACCCACCAAATTGTGGAGCCTAGTGGGAAAGATAAGCAAGAGAGTGGTTAACTTCTACACTATGTAATAAACTGGATCCTTAGGTAGTGGGAGAAGCCCACCCAATATGGTGGAGGGGAGCACAAAAGGGGGGAGGCAGAGCAATGGACTTGATCATGTGTGATCCTATAGGTCTGATTAGCTGCAGCACATTCCCTCCATCCTCTGCAAACAACCAACCAAGCAAATACATGGCTTTCAAATGGCCATGGAAGGATCAGTCTCAGTTTCTACCTTGTACATTCTAGGACAGGATAAAAGAAGCAAAATATTCTTATTCAAAAAAAGGCATTTGGGGGAACCCGGCTGGTTTGGTCAATCAAGCACATGACTCTTGATCTCAGGTTTGTAAGTTTGAGCCCCATGTTTGTGGCAGAGATTACTTAAAAATAAAATCTATTTTTTAAAGGAGTTTGTGTTCTTTTAAATGGGTGAGTTAAGAAGGAAAAATATTTAAAATAACATTATTCCAAGATTTTTTGTATTCAGCCCAGAGAAGAGAAAGTAACTATTATTAGCACAGCCCATCCTTCCAGCATACATCACACCAGAATGTTCCCCAAACTTCCATGGCAAGTGCAGCAAAATACTCACCACCCCCAAATACCCCACCCACACTTAAGGCTTGTATCCGCCATATTTCCACATCTATCAAATCTACACCAGCTTGCACAATGCTTCACATGAATGTCTGTCAGGCCCCACGCAGTGATATCATCCATCCACGAAGCTGCCAAGAGGTAAGGCTTGGATGTTTTGCACAGATAGTTCTGCTGACCTCTTATACTACCTTTAAAGCTATATAAAACTGACTCTGAATACATCATAACTTGAAGGCAGAGTCACTTTTCTATTCATCTCTATTCATAGTCATAACCTTCATGGTGCCTGAGTTAGAGTAGGTATTCAAATATTTATAGTCAGCGAAACAACTTCACGGCACCTGGGTGGCTCAGTTAAGCATCTGACTCTTGGGTTTTGGCTCAGGTCATGATTTCAGAGTCCTGGGATAAGCCTCACATAGGGCTCCCTGCTCAGTGGGGAGACTGCCCCTTTCCCTCTGCTCCTCCCTCTGCACTCTCTCTCTCCTAAATAAAAATAAAATCTTAAAAAAAATTAACCCTAAAAATATTCTAATCTGCGAGTGTTAGTCTATCAAAGCCACGAAACCCAGCCATTTTTTTCTAATCAGTTAATAATGTAACAAGAAGATAAATTTCAGTATCCAATTTCACATTACCCACTTTCCACTGAACTGTGAATTAGGAGTTGTTTTTAATAATTCACCTTATTTATGTTTTGATTAGTAGAAAGACATTTCAAATTTATAAATAGTAAAAATCATAACATTGTTACAAAAAGAACTTCATAAAGGTAAATGGTATGGGAAAAGATAGTTAAGTCATTAATGGTTAATGGTGCCTTATCGTAATGTTTCCAAAGGAATCTGGTCACAACATCGTCCAAATATCCATGATCCATTCCGTAACAACACCCAAATATATGACATAATTAACAGGTTTTGGCTCTTAAGGTAAACCAAAAATCCCAACTGAATACCCAGCTTTGTATGAGATTATAATAGTAACTCAGAATTAAAAAAAAAAAATTAACTTCCTTCCTCAACACCACAACCTATTTACAACCTATTTTAGTGCCCTTAATGGGAAACTAAAAAAAAAGAACTGATTAAACCAATCACCACAATTTAGTAATCTGGTAGCTGAATTTACATTAAACACATTCTAGAAATACAGGATTTGTCTCATAATTGTATTTGGCTCTTTTATCTTGTTGGAAAATTAAAGCTTTGTGAAATCAATGAATCCATTGATTCCTTCAGTCTTTATCCTTTTGTTTTTTTAGAGAATGCAAGCGAAGCTGTCCATAGGCAAGTGTGCACACATGTGCATAAGCACATATAAATGCACACACATACATGTGAAATAGGAGGAAGTTGAAACTCTCCAACAGTTAAAGGGAGACACATATACATACATTTCTTGGCAATATTAGCATGCGTTTTTGTCTACAGTAGCATTGAGCACTGCTGGGAAAGAGAGACACACACACTCACAGAGTTAAAGCAAAACATTTGAGGAAAAGTTATGCTTTTAATTTCTTTGCCAGAGAGATGGAAAAAAGGAAAACTCATCCAATAGGGCTTTTAATGCCTTAAAGTACTCTAGAAAGGTTATTTGTAATAGTTTTAAAATACACAGAAGTCAACCCTAAAACAAATGGGAACAGTGGGTGCAATCGATATCACCTGGATTTAAATTTCTTATAAATGACATTCTCTCCAGCCAAGATAACCACAAAAATAACTCCTAACCAAATTTTCCAAGGGCACTAAGGACCCTTCGAAAGGAAGAAAGAAGAACAAGGAACAGAAAAGTGCCCAGCCCTGGTCTCACCTCTGGCTCTTCCAGTGCATCTTCTCTGATAGGAGTTTTCTGGAGCAGATCCAAGATGCCATTGCTGGAAGGCCTCCTGTCCTCAGAAGGTGAAGCATAGGCCTCCTCCGAGTCTGTTTCCACCACATGGAGATGGCCCACTTCTTCCTGGCTCCAATCCAATTCTTCTTCAGACTGTTTCAAGGAGCTACTGCTGCTCTTGGGGAAGATCCCTGCCGTTGACAGGCTGCTGGGCACTGAGGTGTAGGATGATTGGGGCCCAGAGTAAGGCCGCCCCTCTGGGACTAAGGCCTCGGCCTCCAGGAGGTCAGGGACAGAGAGGCTGAGGCGGCGGTCCAGAGAACGCCTTGCCCTTAGGTCTAGTGGCTTGTTTGGGATCTTCTTTACCTTCTTCTTGCTTAGGTTGATTAACAAAGGCCTGGTCCGCTGCTTCAAAGAGCCCCAGACCGATGGTTTATCCATATCCATGACTGCATGAAAACCGAACCAGTCACTCCATGAGAGAGTGCTTCTCTATGGGAAACAACTTCAGTGGCTCCTAGAAAACACAATATAAGGAGAGAGAACATAAATGAGTCTTCTTGGTGGTGGCCAAGCACATCAATGCGTAAAACCTAACTAGAAAGTCTCATAGAGACTTTCCTCTCACTGATCAAGATTGAAACATTTGATTGGTAATGTCTGCAAATATTTTTTAAAGCATTTTTAAGAAACTGTATTTTTTTAAAAAATTATTTATTCTTGAGAGACACAGAGAGGCAGAGACATAGGCATAGGGAGGAACAGGATCCCTGCAGGGAGCTCCATGTGGGACTTGATCCCAGGACCCTGGGATCTTGACCTGAGCTGAAGGCAGACATTCAACCACTGAGCCACCCCCAGGCATCCCAAGAAACTATTTTTTAAGATTTTTATCAGAGTAGTTATAGAAAAATTCTAGTAATGAATGTAACTATGAGGTTGATGTGAAAAAAAAATACATTTCATAAGTTTGCTTTCTCTTACTTAGTTTACTCAGTGTAACATCTTCCCAGTTCAGCCATGTTGTTGCAAATGGCAGGATTTCCTCCTTTTTATGGCTAACTCATATTCCACTATGTACATATATATATATATGTGTATATATATATATATACACATATATATATACACAAACACACACACACACATTTTCTTTATCCATTCATCCCTCAATAACCACATAGATTGTTTTAATATCGTGGTTAATGTGAAGAATGCTATAGTGAAGAAGGGAGTGAGGAAATACTGATTTCATTCTGGGGGGATGTATATACCTAGAATCATATCATATTTCTAGTTTTCGTTTTTTGAGGAAACTCTATTTTGTTTTCCATAGCGGCTACACCAGTTTGCATTCCCACCAACAGTGCACAAGGGTTCTCTTTCCTCCATGTCCTCATCAAAACTAGTTATCTCTTGTTTTTTTGTTAATAATAGCCATGTAGACTACTTTCCTATGTCCTTTGCAGGGAAAGAAGAGCCAAAAGTTACTACCAGGATCTTTAACCAGTATGATCAATTAACCAGGGCCTTTTAATGTCTGAACCAGGGTAGGCAAACAGCTTCTGTATGAGACCAGTTAGCAAATATTCTAGACTTTACATGCCACATGGTGTGTCACAATTATGCAGTTCTGCTATTTTGGCATCAGAGACACAGACAACACCTAAATGAAAGTGTGTGGCTGTGTTCTAATAAAACTTTATTTACAAAAATGCAGCAGATGGTAGCTGGCCAATCTCTGCTTTGAACTTACTATCTTCCTTTCCAGCATTACAGATGAATCTGGAAGAACAAATACATACTCATATCAACAAAAATTCTACCTGATATTTTAAAACTTTATATTAAAATAAGATTGACTAAAGAAAAAAGCATTTATAGAAGTGAGAGGTCTGTTCTTGTTCCAATGTACCAAGTCAGAAAAACTGAGAAAACTATAATGGAAATCTCAAGAAATGCAAGCTTCAGAGCTTTAGCTTGAGAATGTAAGATTGAAGTGTTTCCTACAAATAGCTCAGTGTGAATGACAGGAATGTTTCACAAATACATATGTAATTACACAGAGTGGTAAATGCTATGTAGGAAAGAAGGTAATTTGACATATTACAGATTGGACGCATTAGGGATCAAATCAAAGTCAAATCTGGATGCAAAAGAATTAAATTGACCACTTTCTTTCACCAACACAAAAATAAACTCAAAATGGATTAAAGACCTGAATGTGAGACCTGAAACCATAAAAATCCTAGAAGACAGCACAGGCAGTAATCTCTGACATGGGCCCAAGCTACATTTTTTAGATATGTCACCTGAGGCAAGGGAAATAAAAGCAAAAATTAACTATTGGGACTATATCAAAATAAAAGTTTTCTGTACAGTGAAGGAAACAATAAAACTAAAAGGCAACATGCTGAATGGGAGCAGATATTTGAAAATGATATATTTGATAAAGGGTTAGTATCCAAAATATATAAAGAACTTGTATGAGGGACACCTGGGTGGCTCAGTGGTTGAGCATCTGCCTTCTGCTCAGGTCGTGATCCCAGGGTCCTGGGATGGAGTCCTGCATCAAGCTCCCTGGTAGAAGCCTGCTTCTCCCTCTGCCTATGTCTCTGCCTCTCTCTGTGTGTCTCTCATAAATAAATAAATAAAATCCTTTTAAAAAAATAAGAAGATCCTACATGATTCATCACCCAGAAAACAAATAATCCAATTAAAAATGGGCAGAAGATATGAACAGACATTTCTACAAAGATACCTAGATGGCCAACAGAGACATGAAAAGATGCTCAAGATCCCTCATCATCAGGGAAATGCAAATCAAAACTACAATGAGATATAACTTCACACCTGTCAGAATGGCTAAAAACAAAAACACAAGAAAAAAGTATTGGCAAAGATGTCAACAAAAAGGAACCCTCATGCATTGCTGGTGGGAATGCAAATTGATGCAGCCACTGCAGAAAACAGCATGGAGATTCCTCAAAAAAATTAAAAATAGACTATCCTATGATCCAGGAATTGCACTACAGGGTATTTACCCAAAGAATACAAAAACACTAATTCAAAGGGATACATGCGCCCCATGTTTATTGCAGCATTATTTAAAATAGCCAAGCTATGGAAGGAGCCCAAATACCTATCAAGAGATGAATGGATAAAGAAGATATACAAACAATGTATTATTACTCAGCCATAAAAAAGAATGAAATCTTTCCATTTGCAACAACATGGATAGAGCCAGAGAGTACGCTAAGTGAAATAAGCCAGAAAAAAGACAAATACCACATAATTTCATTCATATATACAATTTAAGAAACAAATGATCAAAGGGAAAAGAGAGAGAGAGAGAGAAACCAAAAAGTAGACTCTTAACTAAAGAAAAAAGTGATGGTTACCAGAGGGGAGGTGGGTGAGTAGATGGGGTAAATAAGGGACAATGGTTAGAGAGTATACCTATCATAATGAAAATAAATAAATTAAAAAATAATTATCTAAGGTCTTAGTGTTTAATTAAAAAAGAACAAATTTGGAGAAATAAACCTTATTCTATGTATCAAGTAGCTCATAATAGATCCTTTTGGAATAGATCCTTCAAAAAGATCTATTCCTTTGATCCAAAAGGATCAAAATCCTTGAAAAAGAACAGCGGGGTCAAGTAATTTTGATCTGGCCTATACTTAACATTGACATGTTTGGCTGAGCATAAAAGAGGCCAAGAGCCACAAGGAAACATATTTTCTAAAATTAAGGTCTCCAAGCTTTGTACTCAGCCCTAACTTACTCTAGGACAGGATATTTAGTCATTGGGAAGTCCCTGCCTTTTGAAGAGCAGGACTATGAGTGTCTACAGCTTTGCTGAATGGCCACCAGTACAGGCAAGGGCTGCTTCCGGGATGAAATGGAGTATCTTCAGAAAGTAATGGAGGAAAAAAAAAAAGAAAGTAATGGAGAGATGAAGAGCTTGGATTCTAGAGACAGACACCAGGGGTTGGAATTTTGCTTTGCTATATTTTACTTAGATGGTAGTATTATGGGCAAGTCGTTGTACTAAGCCTCAATTTTCTCACCTATCTAATGGGGATTATATAATCTAGTGTACAAATAAAATGAGACAAAGTGCCAGGCACAGTGTTGAATGCACAGAAAATATTCAGTCAAAAAAAGCTATTTTTTATTGTTTATTTTTTGATACTGTTGTCATAATTCAAATTTTGATATCTAACCCAATTTATTCAAGTTTTGTATCTCATTACTATCTGTGTTTTACAGAGCTTAACCATAAATACCTCAACAATGTCTAATGAGGATTTAATGAATTCGTCTATATAAAGTGCTTAGAATAGTGCTTGGCACAGAGTAAATATTTAAGATAATGCTGTCTGGTTTTTAAGTTATTATTATTTCAATTATTTCACATTGAGTCATTATAGCTTTGAAAATATTTTACCACTTTTTCCTGCCTTTTAATATGTTGTTCTAGGGGCACCTGGGTGGCTCAGTTGGTCAAGAATCTGCCTTTAGCTCAGATCATGATACTGGGGTCCTGAGATCAAACCCCACATTGGGCTCCCTGCTCAGTGAAGATCCTCTCCCTTTGGTGCTCCCCCGTTGTGCTCTGTCAAATAAATAAAAATCTTTAATAAAAAATAATTAAAATGTTGTTCTAAACATAAACTTGTATTTCACATTAGCAAGACACAAATACATTATTTAATTCACATTTCACAGCTTAACTTGAAAATATGCTAAAAAGCATTGCTTGTATATTCATTTAGAAATATTTTAGCCAATTAGCATGTAGTGGATGTTATATCAATGTTTTTTAAAACTAGCTGGTTGATGGTTCAATTCTTCTATATCTTTGATGATTTTCTGTCTACTAGTATTACCTAGAAAGGAGTGCTGGGGGGATCCCTGGGTGGCGCAGCGGTTTGGCGCCTGCCTTTGGCCCGGGGCGCGATCCTGGAGACTCGGGATGGAATCCCACGTCGGGCTCCCAGCGCATGGAGCCTGCTTCTCCCTCTGCCTGTGTCTCTGCCTCTCTCTCTCTCTCTCTCTCTCTCTCTCTCTCTCTCTCTCTCTCTCTGTGACTATCATAAATAAATAAAAATTAAAAAAAAAAAAAAAGAAAGGAGTGCTGGGGTTCTCAATTATAATTGTGAATTGTCTATTTATCCTTCAGTTAGTTTAGGTTTTGCTTCTGTATTTTGAAGGTTTGTTGTTATTTGGATATGATATTTATAAGTGTTCTATCTTCTTGCTGTTTAAATCCAATCTGACAATCTCTTTTAGTTTCTTCAGACCATTTACATTTAATATAATAATTGATGTTTGTATTATATTAAGGTTTCCCAATATATTTGGTTTGTTTACACTGTTTTTTATTCTTCTGTTTTCATTCCTTGCTTTTCCTTCCTTCCTTTGCTTTTTTAGTATTCCATTTTAATTCAATTGTGATTTTGGCTATATTTCTTTTTTATAAAATTCCTATAAGACAAGGTTTTACTTTGA